ATAATTCAAAAACTTAGCCATGCATGCTGGCATGTGCCTGTAGTCCCAGCTACTCAGGGGGAGGCTGAGGTAGGAGAATTGCTTTAACCTGGGAGGTGGAGGTTGCAGTGAGCCAAGATCGCGCCACTGCGCCCCAGTCTGGGTGACAGAGCCAGACTCCATCTCAAAAAAAAAAGCCTATTTGTTTACTTAAATAAAAGCTTTGTACAGAGGTCTTAAGCTCTTTAAACCTCAGTTTCCACGTCTGTAAAAGGGGTATAACAGTACCTGCCCTAAGGATTAGAAGTGGTCAGGCCCACTTAGCACTGGTTAAGTACCAGGTATCCAGTGAGCTCTCCCTGTGGGTACCTCCTCTTCCAAGAGCACAGTGCTATATGAGAAATGGAATTAATGCCATACTAAGGGGACTCCACGAGCACAAGGCCCCAAACCCAGCTAGGCAGGCCAGGGAGGACATCCTAAAGGAGGCCACAACTGAGCCAAATTTAACAACAGGAATGCACTAAGACCCTCCAACAGTAAACAGTTCACAAAACAATCCTGTTTGTTTGGGAAAAAATGGATTTTTTAAAGTCATGGACTTGCTTTTGAAAACTTTTTATTCACAACTAGGATTACACAACTCAACTTACTTCAATTAAAACAAGTCATTTCATCACTGTTTTTAAAACAAACTTGAATACAATGAGTGCACATTTCAGGGCTTTATATAATCTTCCTCTTCACGCCCTGCTTTCCTCTTTCTGGAAGGTTTACCTGAATAAATATGAGAGATAAGACATAAAATTCAATATAAAATGTTTCCTGAACTTTTATCTAAAGTGGTTCTGGGCTGACAGAGAGCCAGCCCTTCAGATTAGAACTCAGTTTCTCCACCCTTGGTAGCCAAATGTGTCCACACAGATACTGTCTAGATCAGGCAGCTAAACTTAGGTTTCCCCTGGGCAGGCTGGAGTACAAGGCGCGATCTTGGCCCACTGTAAACTCCGCCTCCTGGGTTCTAGCAATTCTCCTTCCTCAGCCTCCCAAACAGCTGGGATTACAGGCTTGTGCCACCATGCCCGGCTAATTTTTTGTATTTTTAGTAGAGACAGGATTTCACCATGTTGGCCAGACTAGTCTCAAACTTTGACCTCAGGTCATCTGCCTGTGTAGGCCTCTCAGAGTGCTGGGATTACATGCGTGAGCCACCCCACCCTGTGAATACTTAATTTTCATTCTACACGGACTGACATTTCTATTGTTTTACTTGAAGTATGTTCCCCAGCTTCCCTAGTACTTCACTTCTTTTCTCTCTAAAATTCAGTACAGTTGGACCTCCATATCCAAGGATTAAACCAGCCACAGATCAAAAATGTTTGAAAAATTTTTAAATAAGGCAGTATAACAACTATTTACATAGCTTTTTTTTTTTTTTTTTTTTTTTTTT